AATGACTTCCAGATGTCCATTGGCACCTAAATTATTCTGCTTATCCAGTGTTGTAGTGGTTTGAGCCAGGTTTACCCCCTGAAACTAGAAAAGTGGTAACCCCCAGGGGGTGGTGACCCTTGGGGTCTGACCCAATCAGTGCTCCTGCAAAATATAAACATATCTCTGGAGACCGGGAAGAGAAGCAGTGGTACTGGTTGTTAGAAAAAGAGGTGGCCATGTTGTAGAGGCCACGAGGAGAAGGGGCTCCGGCCCCTTGGGGGCCTCTGCCCCCCCCCAGCCCCCAGTTGGGGGGCTGCAGGGACTTGGAACAGTGTTAGCTGGACTGAGTGCCTGTGGCTAGGAGCTGGGGGAGTTTTCTCCCCTGTAAGCAGAAGTGGGAGACGCTGAGAGCAGCGACGGAGCAGTAGCAGAACAGCAGTGTCCGAAGAGCAGTGGCAAAGAGCCAACTGATAAGAACCAAGAAAAGCAGCAGATGCCGGTATGCAACTGAAGCAGACACAGAGTTGTCTGAGGAAACGAAAAGAGCCAGCAGCAGAAAGCAGGACAAGAGACCCGAGCCAGCAGCAGGAAGAGAGTTTCGGAGGGTAAGAACTGGACAAACCAAACCCCCCAAACTCGCTAGAGACCCCTCCGAGAAAGAGGAGGGGGTGGTAGACTGAGTGGAGTCCTAAAGTGCAATATACACTACAGAGAGGAGCTAAGAAGCTCCGGCCTCCTGAGAGCTCAGCCAGGATGGCCAAAAGAATGTGTGTGGAGGGGGTGACCTTGGGCTTTCCCCCCCCCCCTTGCTGCAGCTTCAGAGAAGCTGGCAGCCATCTTTGAGGCAGAGCATGTGAGCTCTGCACAGGGGCTTGATTTCCCCTGAGGATACCAGACCGTCACGAAGACCCCCGTGCTTCGTGATATGACCGTGGTGATACGACCTTGTCTGGGGTTACGTAGTCCACGGAAAGACCCCCGTTTTTAGGACGGAGGGCCGAGGGGCTTGAAGACCCCCTCGTGTGTGCTGGCAGAGAGCCAGCAACTACAACTACTGCCTGGAAGAGAAAAAGAGAGCCAGCAACTGCTACTGCTACCTGGAAGAGAAGAAGAAAGCCTGCTGCCTAGAGAGAGACCTGCTGCTCAGAAACTGGAAGGGGTCTTTTCTTCTTCTTCTCTCCTGGACTTTTATTTGGGGGGAGAAGAGATTTGGCCCATTGTAAATATTACTGTCATGGTAGAGATAGATATAGAGTTAAGATTGTATGCAATGTATTATAGTATTTATTTATGTGTATAGTCTTTGTAATATATTCCTTCCCCCATATTGAGTCTCGTGTTTTTGTCTGGAAAACCCATCTCACATGGGGTTGAGACTGTGGGAGGGGGGCTAGGAATCAGAATTAGATTTTGGGCCTTTTCAAACCATGACAAATGGGAAAACCACTAAGAGAATAACCAAACCAGCAGACTAAGTGGATAGGAGGCATCCAAGTGCACTTACAAGCACAAATCCAACCATCCCCTGGGCTGCATCCAAACCAGCGGGGGCACAGGGCGAGGAGGATGATTCTCCCTTTGTACTCCACTCTCATCCCACCTGGAGCACTGCGTGCACCTCTGGGAATCACGGCAGATATGGACCTGGCAGAGTGGGCCCAGAGGAGGTCACCAAAACCATCAGAGAACTAGAAGGCCTCTCCTATGGAGACAGGCCAGGAAGTTGGGGTTGTTCAGCCTGGAGAAGACTTCAGGGAAGTTTTACTGCAGCTTTCCAGTAAATAAAGGGATTTATAAGAAAAATGGAGAGAGACTTTTTACCAAGACTTGTAGTGACAGGACAAGGGATAATGGTTTTCAACTGAAAGGGACATACTGACAAAATTTTTCGTGATGACAGTGGAGAGATATTAGAGCACACTGCACAGGGAAGCTGAGGCTGCCCCATCCCTGGCAGTGTTCCAGGCCAGGCTGGATGGGACTTGGAGCAACCGGGGATAGTGGAAGGTGTCCCTGCCCACGGAAGACAGGGTGGCCTTTAAAGGTCCCCTTCAAACCAAATCACTCTATGATTCCCCTCCAAAATAACTACCAAAGAGATACAGCAATCAATGCAGAGGGACTGCACTTCCAGCTTTTCTTACCTGCAGGCATACAGCACGTTGGACATAAAAGCGATAGGGTTAGTCCTGCCAGAGGTGTCCGGCACACACACGGCAACCGAAGGAAAAGAGGAAGCCTGGGAACACAGAGCAAAAGACACTTTAATTAGGACTACAGTGAGCAATAGCCAAGTCATTCACACAGACAGCTTCACTGTCCAGTCATACAGAAAGCACTCACCAAGGCCTCGGTTAGGATGGTTCCTGACGCTGACCAGGCAAATCCCTCCATTTGCCCCGGGGTGTCAAGAATAACATCCCTGGTAAGAAGTCACCCCCAACAACAAAAAGGGAAAATTAGTGAAGCACAGGGTCCTGTTCTGACTAGATTACCACCAGCATTCAATAGCAAATGATGTGACTAGTCTGGTACAGATGAGAAAACCTTCTCCCAAACAGTGATGAGATTTATGGGCACGCTTGAAAATCTCCTGTGAGAAATTTGCAACTAAGAAGTATGTGCTATCTTGAGTTGAAGGCATCAATTTGACAGACACTTAGTACAGCAAACTCTTCAGAAGAAGAATTAATTGCTGCCTCTTTGAACAGTAGGTGAGAGACAACGACAGTCTAAGGGAAGACAAGAAAAGCAGAACTGTAATCAGCAGACTCTTCTTCCATCTCTCCCGAGAAAGTCAAGTTTATCTGTTCTAATTCTATGCCCTTTTCTACATGAAACTTAGACCAAGGCTGAAAAAACAACTAGAAAACATGGAGAGAAGCTTTCTAGAATTTCCCATGATTTTCCCAAACTGATCCCAGAAAAGCAGAACTCAGTAGAGTGTACTCACCTCGACGCATTCTGTCTTTTTTCCATAAGCTTCATCACCTGATTGAAAAAGCAGAGTATACTTGGTATTTAGGCTCGCAACAGGAAACCTTCATTTCCTAAAAGAAACTGCATTAATTTGCACAGCTGCAGGTGTGTATCCAGATGTTAAAGCCTTTAAGCTTTTCAGAGGGTCAGAATGCCCTGCTAAGGAAGGCTGACAAATGCTCGGACCCTGCACAGGTCCGAGACAACCTTGGTTTTGTCTGCGTTCTAGTACCCGGCTAAAGAAATGGTAGAACAACCGCAGTCGTTCCCTGCCTTTTCACTAAGAGATTGCCAGGGGCTGGGCCAGCCTGGGCACTCCCGGGGCAGCAACAGCTTTCTGCGCTGGCACCTTTTGGCCGGGAGGAACCTTCGTCCCTGTTCAATTCTGGGAATCGGACTGGCAGCACAAGCCAAGTCACCGGCAGAATTCTGGACCTTTGGTCTCCTCAGAGCGCCCACGGCCAGGGGAAAAAGAACATTTGCTTCACCGTCCCGAGGACGGAGACAAACAAAAAACCACACCACCGGACCGAATTCACCCGCAGAAGCCCAAATTCACCGAGCGCCGGGCCCCCCCGCGAGCGCCGGGCCCTGAGGCCTCGCAGTCGCCGCCTGGCGGACACGGCCGGGAACGGCACTGCAGCCGCGCGCCCCCCCCTTGCAAGACCCGCGGCGCCTTTCGCAAGTGCGGGCCTTTCTTCCCTAAAACCTGCCCTTACCTAGGAAAAGCTGAGCAATTCACAGAGTTGCTGTTTCCAGCCCAGCTTCCCAAAGGATTTCTCTCTCCTGGCAGCACAGACAGGGTCCCCGAGGCAGCACAGACCCTCCCCACGAGGGGGGTGCAATGGCAGGGCACATCCGAACCCGGCCCTGCCGCCTGCCGCTCTCTCCGCCCCTTCTCCTGGTGGCGGCACGCAGGTGCAAGTTTCTCCGCAGAGGCGAGAAACTTGCCTGTCGCTTCCCCTGCCTGCAGTCCCGGATGGCTGCGGGTGAAGCAGAAGAGCGGCCGCGCCCCCGCCGGGCCCCGCTTACCCCGGGGACGATCTCCCGGAGAGGCCGACGTCGGATCTGCCGCCGTGGGTCGCTTCCGGGTGGGGAAGGCGGCGGCGCAGCCCCGACAGCATCTCCGGGGCACGGCGGGACCGAGCGGGGCGAGAGCGGGAGCGGAGCGGAGCGGAGTGGAACGGGGCGGGCGGGCGGCGCGCCGGGCCCCGCCATCTGCCTGGGGTCCTCGCGCCTCCGCCGCGCGCCGCGGCGCCGAGAAGGGGCTGCTCGCGCCGGTGCCTGCCGCCGCCCACGAACCTGCCGCCCGCGCCAGGCGCCGCCGAGCGCGCCGCCCTGTCCCCGCACTGGGAAACGGCGCGGCGAGACGGCGCTGCGGGCGCGGGGCGGGGATCCGGGTCGGGGCGGAGGTCAGGCAACAGGATAAACGCCTCTCTGACGGAAGGGGGCCTCTCGCCGCCATCTTGTGTGTGGTCTCGCCTAACTTCCGGTCATGGTGGCGCCATCTTTGGTGTGGCCTCGGCGAGTTTCCGGTCCGGGGCCGCCATCTTTGTGTACGGCCTTGGAGGACTTCCGGTAAGAGCGCCGCCATCTTTGCGTGCCGCCAAGGAGGAAAGACTTCCGGTCACGGAGGGCGCCATCTTGGGTGGTGCGCCGTCGAAAACAGTCCGGTCGCTCTCTACTTCCGGTGCCCCCCGGACAACGTCCCTCACTAATTTCTGCGCTTTCGCCTCGAAAATCTTCATGTTATTCCCCCCGCACACACCCCGGGAGAGACGGGAGACCACGAGTCCCGTCGCGCCGCGGGAACCGGCCCTTAAATGGAGCAGGGAGCGCTGCAGCGGCACGAGACCCACTGCGCATGCGTCGCCGTTCCCTCTCCTGGCCGCCCTTAATTATCACGTGATCGCCGGCATCTTGCTAACGACTGCGCATGCGCCGCCGTCGCTACCTTGGCTGCCCTCCCCACCGCCTATCCACCCGGCTTCGCTTTCTTACTGCGCGCGCCTCACCCGCTTTTCTGGGGCCCCTCCCTCACATTTCGCGGCTCCCCCTCCGCCGCTTTTTCGGCTCCCTGGGGTTCCCCCCCACACGTTTTGGGGGCCCCTTCTCACATTTTAGGGGTCTAGTTTATCTGTTCTAATTCTATGCCCTTTTCTACATGAAACTTAGACCAAGGCTGAAAAAACAACTAGAAAACACGGAGAGAAGCTTTTCAGAATTTCACATGATTTTCCCAAACTGATCCCAGAAAAGCAGAACTCAGTAGAATCGGTACAGTCACTGCGCATGCGCGAGTTTGTCGCCATGTACCCTGGGCCTGCCATGTGATCGAAGCGCTTTTCGTTTTGCAGAAGCGCGAGTTCCGTGCATGTTGCCAAAACTTTCCGCGTGACTAGGTGCGTCGGTTTCGGCGATGCGCAGTTTTTATTTGCAGTGCCGCGATCGGTCAGGAGGTGTCACCGACGAGTCGTTAAACGCGCGCAGTGTTTCGCCTTCACCGTCAGGTAGCACCAGCGATTTCTCTTTTTACTGCTTTTGCCTTTCCTCTCGCGAGGTTTCTTGGAGATTCGAGGGGGGATCAAACCAAATAAGAAGGACACTCAAGCGGTTAAAGAGGTTTTGAACAACAAACGTTTAATTCTATTTGAAGGAGGGGAGAGAATCGATATAGCTAAGGAACTATGACTAGTGCAGATGATAGATGATTATGTATTTCTACTAGTGAGTTCATCTACAAAACACTTGTAGCCCAGATCAGATCTTTGATTTTCTACTATTTACCAGTAACACTTATGCTACAGGAGAAGAAAAACGTAAAACAAAACACTCAAGAAGAACTTTCTTTTAAAACCAAGTAACTGGTAGCCCCACACAGCTGCTGGAACTATGGCAACCTTTGCTGTGAGCAAAAGTAGGTGGTGCCAGTGTGGAAGCGGCTTTAGGAGCCACTGCTGAAGGAAGTACTGCTTGTTCTGATCCTTGCAGCCTGCTTGACTTGCCTCTGTGCTGTGTCTTGACTTAAGACATAGTCCATGGAATCTAGGTTCGGTAGTATTTAGCTTGTGCTGTCTCTTGGACACTGGAAGGGTTTTGCAGACTGACGCTTGCTGTCCCTTTAGGTGTCAGTGGCCTTTCTTGGTATTTGGCAGTCACGATGGGGCTGTTAACCCAGCTTTTCCAAGAGTTGTTTCAGTGTAGCTTTCGCTGTCTTGGGTGCCAGATTCCTGCCACAAAAATATGCCCGTGTAAGGTTGCTACGCAGCCAAAGGATCCTTCCCACACAGGCTTTTCTGCGTTGCACATTTACTTAGCCAGTCTCCACTCTGAAGAGAAGTCAGGGCTTCTTGACTGTTTATAGCCTTCATTTGGAGCCAGTTATTGTCTTTCTTAAGAGAATTATGACATAGTCAGAGGCTGAGCTTACCCTTAGAAACACAGCATGACTGACAAGGCTATCTGTGGAGCATGTCCCATTTCCAGAGAGGATTCAATGACAGTTACTTGGGTTATAGGAAGACAGCTGATGACAGCTGGCAAGTTTATCCTTTTATCATCGTGGCTGTCAATGCTGCTGTTCTTCCTTTAGTTCCATTTCTATGCACATCGGTTCTGCAGCCGTGCTGATTTAAGTGCAGAGGATGAACTGTTATTTCAGCCTCTTAGAGATCCTAGTCCCATTAATGGTCTAGCTGGCAAGAGGAGGGTTTGTTGGGGGGGGTGTTATCTTTTCCCTTCACACTTTTGTCATTTGATTGATAAGAGGTAATTCTTCAGCTCAGTTTTCACTCCTGATGCTACAGTGTCACGTTTACTAGGGAAAGATGCAAGTTAACAACTCTACATTGCATTCAGCTCTCAGGAGTAGTTTCCCATCTGTCCCTCTGTGGCACAAAATTAGAAAGCAGTCCTTCCAGCATGCAACTCTGCCCTGCCTTTCCCCCAGCCAAGTTATTCAGTCCACAGATTGTTAATTTTGTCATCTTCTCTTCTTCCCAACCAACAAAATACATGTGAAAAGGAACTAGCTGCAGGCTATAAAAGTGTAACTGCAAGTACTGATTGAAAGCGGAGCTGAGCTTCCTGGTCTTTTCACAGCTTTCTTGCCAAACTCTCTGGCTTCCCTGGTTCTTAATTCTGTATGGGAGAAGTAACCTGCTAAAAGCCACACAGAAAGATTAGCTAACAAGGGCAGAGTAGCCTTCCCTACCCTCAGCTGCAGGTTTTATTAACTCCTCCAAGCTGCAACTAGTATTACTGATTTTTTTTGCTCCTGCTGTAACACAGCCCCCGTAGGTCATAAATCACTGTGGGCATCGTCACAGAACAACCTTGCTGGCCCTGTTATTGTTATTAGGTCTAGAAAGATGAGTTGCTGACCTTTACCAAGTGCTATTTCTGTTGACTGCTAAAAACCTTCAGAGCAAAGTTGCGTGTTTCTTAGTTGTGCGAGCCAGACTCTTTAACTGCCTGAGAGCTTTCTGAATCTTAGCGAAGGAATCTGTGAAGACAGCCTCAGTTATTTCAAAGGGGAGCCTAGTTTACTCTGCATATACTCTAAGGAAAGGTAAGCTTCAGGCCCTGACTGCTGGTACCAAGTGCTACTGCTTAATCACATTCACATAGCTTGTGGTTTGCTTGTAACAGGAGAGCAAGCTCCCATGTAGGAGGAGGCATGTACTGCTGCCCACCACACAGACTGCCCACTCTTGGTGTGGGCAGCCCAGTGCTGGTCTATGCTCTAAGAAGCTCATTTGGAGTACAGTAGCAGGGTTGGAAACAAGGCATCATATATTCCACTGATTTCAGAATAACAGTTGTCAAATGCCTGCTATTCTGCTTGGCATCTCAACTCTTCTGGGTATTACCTGCAAAGCTAATTTTAAGCAAACCTTCCAAGCTGTACCAAGCAGTACAGGATACAGGTAAAGGAACTGCCAGTTCCACGATTGTGCAAAGTATGGAAGAAAACACCACCTTTCTAAATGCATCATAAGGGATGGGGGTAGGGTGACTCTGGAAAGATTTGATGTTGATGTTCATGGGAAAGTTGAAAACCAGAAGCATACGAAAGGTCCCTGTATTTTCTCTTATTTTAGGGTGAAGGATGACAAAGTTGTATTAGTTTAATTCCATCGGGGAAGTCTTAAATATTTTTTTGCTAAGGGACGTATCTTAGGGCAGCGAGGGACGTGCATGCATAGGTGCACTGCTCCAGCTTCCTCCTTGTACAGCGTTTGTCCTCCTCAGGACAAACGCTGAAACAGCAGAGAGGCAAAGCTCTGGCCTGATGCTAGAAAACTGAATGGGAACTGTATGAAGCTGAGTTCTCATCCAGCAGTTTAATCACTGGTGCTGTACACAGATCGCCTCAGAAAATGCCTCTGTTTCCATCCTGTCTGTAAAGAAAGGAAAAAAATCCCTTAGCTTTCTTGACGAACTTAGTGATGTACTCTGCTCACAGTAAGAAGTACATGTATCTAAGAAATGGGTTATGAACTTGGTTCTATATAAAAGGAGTTGAAGCAAGGTCATGGGTAAGCACACTGTCACTCTACACATCCCCATGTTGATTGCTCTCTGATAATGAATAACAGTTGGGATAAAAGGTTTTTGATGAAGCAAAACACAAATGTTTTTCTCCACCTCTTTTTGTGAATGTTCACGTAAGCCTAGATACAGATGACCTTCCTTTGTTACTCATTTATTGCCCTGTGAGAGAGAAAAAAAAATGCAGTATTTGGTATGTGCTATCTTCAAAATCAAGACCGAGGCCTGCAATCTGATTTTAGAGACACAACTGTAAATAACAAGTAACTCTGAAGGAACTGATAGAATAATTCCACATTAATGCTAATATTATAGCTGAGACTGGAATTTGCCGTTTATCTTTTAAATTACCAGCATAGCATATGCATATTTACCTTGATTAGGAGCTTCAGATCGTCCCTTCCATTATGTTTAATGTGAGTGTGGAAGGTCTAGGTTCTATCTGTGGTAGAAGTCTTTCCCAGCCTTTCAGAAATTGTACTGCAAACATTACATGGCTGCCCTTGGTAAATTTCTGACTCTACTGACAATTGCTGGGTATAATCAGTGACGTAATGAGCATTAACTGTGTCACCTGTGTGACACAGGCCAAAATGCCATAGCAGCCAAGGGCTAAAACTCTCCTGTTGAAGGAATAAAGCTGATTGCTCTCTCTTTGGGACAGTATCAACTTTGTACAGGTTTGCCACAGATCGTGAGCCTGTTTTAACACTCACGATCTCCTTCCTAAAAGGAGGCATAATGGAATCTTGGTGTAGAACAAGAAAGAGAGGGACAGCTCGTAGCAAGCTGGGAAGGATAACAAGCCAGAAAAGCAGAGCATTCAGGAGAAAGGGAACCCTCGTCAGGAAAAGAGACAAAAAAACATACTGGTCAGGTCACTATCCAAACTCTGGGAATTTTATATGCTGCACAGGAATGTGTTGTAAAGTTCATGAAGGATTTCTGAAGAGCTCATCACCCACCATTATCAGACAGGAAAGCCATTATCGAGCCCTGAAGAATTCCATAATGGAATGCAGAGTGAGATAGTGGGGTACCTAGTGGAAGATAACACCAGAGGAATGAGCAAGAACAGCCTGATACTGGTCTCTTGACATTCCTGAAAATCTCTAGATGCTTAGAATGAAGACAAAACCAGACTCCAATTAGCCAACTTGGGAACACTTTAGCTGGAGTTTTGTATGCCTTTTGGCAACTCCAAAGAGGAAGAACACCAGCCATGAAAGCCATGGAGTAGTGCCCCAGCCTGATGATGTCACAATGCTATAACTGTGGAGCTGCTGCCTTCCCATAGTGTTGGGCAACCCTGCTCCTTTCAAATGCAAACCCCAAAGGTGAATTACTGCAGTAGCAAGTTTTCATCTTCCCTTTGAAAGATTTGCTTGTGAGACCCTTAGCCTGGGTCACTCTCACAGTGCACCAGATTTCCATGAGACTAACGGTTACTTGCCCACCTCTGTCCCAGTCTCGGAATTTCAAGTGGTGTCACCTCTGGCCCCCAGACTGGGTTAGCTGAATGCTGTGGAAAATAATAAGCCACAATTTAAGATGCTGTGCATGATAAAGCAGGTGCTACAGAGGAGATGTGATTAAGAAACTGGTTTGAGTGAAGTGACTGTAAACTTTTTCCACTTCTGTAACAGAGCACTTGGAGACAGGTGCTGACAAAAAATGTCCCATTGCTGAGGTCTTCCCCTTGGCTTGTGTAAGCTGGAGCTAGGCCAGAGTATCAGGTTGCTTTATGCCATGAAAAGCTAGAACTCTGATCTGGAAAGAATTGGAACTGCCCATGGAACGCTGTCAGACACATGATCAGATAGCATTTGCTAAGGAGAGGATGATTGGGCCTCAGATACCCGAGATCAGCAGTGAGAAAACAAAGTTTGCAGCCATGGCAGCGACTCTTGTCTCTTAAATGTTACCCTCTACAGGGCTTGGCATCCTGAGGTGTAACGGAGACTGTTAGTCCTTCTTGTGGTGAGTGAACAGGGCCAAAGGAGCTGAAATACCTTGCACAAATCAGGGAATGACTGCTCCTATTGCTGACTGTGGGTATCTGTGATTGCACGTACATCTGCGGACTCACGCCTCGTGCCTCAGTGTTGTGAAAATTCCTGGTGCCAAGCGAGAATGACACAGAAAATTTGCCTGTCAGTTATATGAAACAATTGAGGCTTCTTGGCTCTTAGCCCACATGGAGCGATTGTTATCTTCAGCTGTTTTCAATAAGCTTTGCAGATTAGAACAAATAACTAAGATTAATATTCTGTGAAAAAGTATAAGCTTTCCTTAGTAATTAAAAAATATTGTATAAGTGGAAATATTTTCCATGCAGGGAGGAATATCTTCCAAAGAATTACAGTATTAGTACCATTAGCTAATAGCCGCGAGCTGTCAACTTTAATATTCACACACACATATATATTATTTCTAGATATGGTTGCATATGTAAAGAAATTACCTATGTGCTAGTGGTAATTGAATTCTGTTATTATTGCTTTAGGGTTTTACACATAGTGACTTAAACCCTTTCCAACCTGGAGGTGGGGTTAAAAGTTGAGGCAGAACTTCTCCAACTTTCCCTTCTCATTCTAGATTTACAGGCTCAGCTACTTGCTGCTGCAGGAGAACAAATGTTCTGTAAGAAAGTGATTGTAATGACTGTAAGAAAGCAGTAATTGTGCTATAATACATTGGCAATTTTCTACAGCAGTCTTTCGGTGCTGTAAAATAGGTCCCACAGAAGAGCTTGGCGTAAAGGGAGGGAAAGGAAGAAGGAATGTATACGGTGGTCCTGGAAAAAAAAAAGGAAGATATAAAGTAGTATTTAAAATTAGCAGTAGCTTAGATAAATGGGTAAATACTACATACAAACACACACATACAAATATATATAGGGGAGTATAAGTTTGTACGCTGAAAAACTATCAAGTGCAGAAATCTTTAAATAACAGTATGCATCTTTGTCCTGCTTAACTCCTGGAAGCTTGTGACACGGACCAGCAGGGATAATGTCTGTAGTGTTCTGAAAACATCTGGGAGACTAGGATGCTGCTAAATGTGTCTGTAAGTGAATTGGTTTTGCATATGAATGCAGTGTTCCTAAGAGGCATTGGTTCAGTAATATGGTAAGTCTTATATGGCACCCAAGAATTTTTAGCTACCTGATGTAAAGTGCTGACACACAGACAGGCTAACTCATGGTGCACATTTGCTTAAAATATCTTCCAGATTCCCTCTTTCTGTGGGGCTTTTTTGCCTTGTGCTGCAGTAAAGAACCCACCCGAGAGATTCTGCTCTGGCTGGTTTTCCACAAATATCACCCGCGCTTCGGGCCGTGTCGCCTCCGTGGCCACGCCTGCAGACCACCGGCCCTCTCAGGTCTTCAAGTCCTTGGGCAGCTGTGAACAAGCCCGTGCCCCCTTCTCCCTCCTTCTTCCACGGTTGCCTCCTGAAGTTACATCTGCCTGTCTGAACGGGTGAGCGCTGAGCGAGGCAGCCGGCCCGCCCGCGGCCGCCGCCGGGCGCGTCCTGTGCCCCTCGGAGCTCCTCCTGCCGGCGCCGCGGAGGGGGCCGGGCGTAGGGCCGGGCTTGGGGCCACCGAGAGGCACGGGGGGAAGAGAGGCGGCGACGGCGACGAGTGGGGAGGCGAGCGGGCGTGTGACGCCGGCGGCTCCCGAGCGCCCGCAGGTGCCGAGTCCCCCCGCCTCCCTGGCCGCGCAGCCTGCGGACACCATGGCCGGCGAGACCGAGGATCCGAACGGCCGGGAGACGCAGACCGTCTGCGACGCCCTGGAGCGCTACGAGGACACGCTGCGGGGCGCCGTCCGGGAGATCCATGTGGACATCCAGCTGTTCAAGCAGGGGGTAGGGCGGCAGGTGGAGGAGGTGCTGCGCCTCGCCAGCCCCCTGGCACACACGGTCTCGGAGCTGCAGCAGGAGAACCGACGCCTGCGGGCGCAGCTGGAGCGCCTGTCTCGGCAGGTGGAGGCCCTGGGCCGGTCGGCGGGGCTGCCGCAGGAGTGGGCGGACGAGGCGGTGGAGAGCCCCCAGGCCGCGGGGGCCGGCTCTCCGGGGCAGGGTTCGGCCGACGGCACGTTCGCCAGCCATGCCAAGCCAGCGGTCCCTGGCAGGAGCCAAGTAAGTGATCACTGCCAAGGAGGCGGCGGGAGGAAGGGAGGGCCAAGAGGGTACACGGATCATGCCAGATTCTGCATTGGCACGGGGGAGCGTTTAGGGACACAGGGTTCCTCTTTTGCAGTGCAGTGTCAGTGGTATTTTGGGAGGTGCTCTGGGAAATGGTCTTGGCTGTGATACCATATGGAGACTTACCTGATTGTGGCACAGTTTGGTCAGACTGGGATCTTGGTTAGCGTAGTAGTAACCTGTCAGTTCAATGTGGTTAGAAGTAAGAAGAGAAGATGGGGCAGTCTCACCTGTCAGTATACATATGTACGTGAATATTTGCGTATCCTTTCTGGACTCGATTCAGAGGGATCTGTGTGCCAGCAATGCAGTTTGCCAGTTGGCGAGCTCACAAAGCACAATAGCATATAGCAGGCAGTAACCTGAACGAGGCTGTGCCCCCACCCATTCTCCCTCCTTCTTCCACCGCTGCCTCCTGAGGTTACATCTGTGCCTCTGAAGGGGTGTGCACTGAGCGAGGCAGCCCCGGCAGCCGTGCATCCTAAAACAGCATCCTGCAGTGAGACAGTTTTGTTTTACAGCCATTGTCCCAGACTGCTGCAGCTTGTCCCTGGCAGCCTCACACAAGCTGTCATGGTCTCCACGACCTAAACTTGCACAAACATACACATTTCTGCCAGTGATAAAACTTCCTTCGGTGTAGTGGAGCATTGTAACTTGGGGCATAGAAACGCCACTTAGTGGGAAGCTCATCTGGTACTGAAATGTTTTATGTCATACTTCTTCTATGTGTCTGTCTCTGCGGGAAGAGTTGAGAGCTCCTGTGCAATCCTTGATGCCAGGAGGGGGCAGCTAGACGGTACATTGTGATTGAGTCACATAAAACTGGAGTACTAGAACCTTGGCTTTCACAGATGACAGCCTATTTTATGTAATCTTGATTAAGCCATGTCTTAAGGGGTTTTTAAGACTGCTGAAGCTTAAAAAAAAATGGTCTGTGGTCTATCTAGGCTTGGGGTTGAAAATGAAAAGCTTGGAAATTAAATTCACTAAACTTTGTAGGAACAAGCAGAGTCTGTATTGCATTCCAGCCCTGTTAATTTCTACTGACTTACAAATGGGGGCATAGGGTTTCCCACATCTGGGCAATTGAAAAGATAAAGCTGCTGCTTGATACGTTGTTCCAACATAATTGTAGCAAATGCTGCCTTTTGGCCCATGTGACAAAGGTAAGCAGCACACCTACAACTTTTTGTTCCCTGGAGCCATCCACATGCTTGTTTGTATTTCAAGGAACAGAAGTGAGCTGAATGACATGGAAGGGACAAGGGATTGTGGTCCCTCACACCATTCCACCTGCTCCATCACCACTGTCTGCATTGCAGTGTGTCAGTTTTCACAGTCTGTGAAAAGTCTTGCATCGGTGTTACGGCAATGTCCAGCTTTGAGTATCGGTCTGCCTTAAAGCACAGTCTGAGGTTCTGTTTGGATTGGAACCTTCCTGTTTTGCTTTGAGAGTTCAGGGAAAATCACTTAAGTACTGACAGTTCTTCAGTGCCCTCCCAACAATTTAGGTTGGAGAAGTTCCCAAGCTGGCATAGCTGACCGAGAGGGAATGTCAGTACTGAGACCTATGGGAGGTGCAGCTAGAGCCGTACAAGCCAAACGCATGCAGTGAAAACGTAATTTTGTGGATCAGGCTCTGATGTGGCTGTGCTGAAATGGTGAAAGAGCAAGCCTTGGTCGCTTGCTCTTGGTCACCCAGATTCTCTGTAATGAACAGTGTTCCTTCAGTTGCTTGCAATTTCTGGTTATAGGATCAAAGCATTTGAAACAGAGTACCATAAATGGCACTATGTCACTATGTATATTTCCATATTTCCAGATATTTCCATGTTTCAAGATAAACAAGTACTTGTGATAAAATTGGTGACACCTCTAGTCTTAGAAAAGACTTCTGTAAGTATGAGATATAAGAAGCAAGTACTACTGACCTGGGAATAGTAGCAAATCAAATGTGTCTTCTGCTTCTGAAAAGATTTATCGGTCAAATTCCTTTTTACTGTGTGGTCGATGCAGCATTAATTGGATACCAGAGATTCTGAGTATCTTCAGTATCTGAAACATTATTTTCTAATATTGCTAGATTATTTTTCAAAGTAATTTAATTTTAAAAAAAAGTGAATCCAGGGAGTTCCAAGCATAGTTCAGAAGTAAGGACACAAATGTCCTTTTAATTCTAATCTGGGCAATTTCTACTATGGTGTCCTCGAAAGCTGCTATACAACAGTCTAAATGCTGGTTTAGGTGGAATTTTAAATGGCCATTAGCCACTCTGATTTGGAGGTGAGTCTTTCTGTTATTTTGATACCAAACCTTAATTTGGCTCTCTAACCAGGCCAGAATCTGAGAGTTGCTTTCACAAATGTGGAAAATAAGAGATGTTTGAAGAATTAATTTCAGATTGGGATCCTGGAGCCATAGCTGCACTACTGAGGATTTAGAAAGGAAAAGGTTTGATCTTTTTTTTTTTTTTTTGTTGATCACATTTTGTATTTTGGCAGGAGCTTTAAACTTATGATATTTCCATAGTTTTTGTGGTTGAGCATGGTGCCTTTGTTAACAGGGAGGACTGAAAATACTGTAAGGGTGTTCTGTTTTAATACTGTCAGAAGTTTCTGTACAATGAGGACAGACTGCTGCAGAGAATCTGCCTGCATTGGTCGCAGCAGCAGAGCGATGAATAGCTGACTGTGAACACCTATGAAGGTCGAAACAAGTATTACCCATTGGTATCTCTCTGTGGTGACCTGATGGCACCCAACAGTTAGTCAGCCTGGGAGTAACTGCATGAGACGTGATGACCTGGGTAGACATAATGAACATTATTAATGATATAATTTACGTGTTCTTGCTTGTAGATGCTGCTTCTTGGGAGCTACGTTTTTTTAACTGAAGTAATCACGTGTCTGTGAAGCAGTTTCTTCTTTCTTTAGTTACTGCAGCCAAAAAATCACATAGTTCCTCATGGTGTTTTGCATGCCTCCCCCCAAACAAACAAACAAAACCACCAAAAGACCTCATACCAAACCCACCAAAAAAAATTCTTGGCTGAGTTTTCTGGAATTATACTGGCAGATGTTATTGGGAAAATTGATGCTTTTTTCAGAAAAAAGGTATCGTTACAGAAGTTACAGATTATAATACAGCTGTAAAGTTCTAGGATTGTATTTACTTTATGTATTGCTTTTACAATGTCTTTTCATAATGTACTTTTTTTCTGCAGCAAATGGAAAAAAATTGCAGAGCATTGTTTCCTGCAATCTCAGTCAATTTCTCCATTATTGTGCAGAGTCTTCTGTTTATCATCTTCACAGTGGATGGTGATACCTTTATCTATCAAAGATAACACCTTGTAGGTACATGGGGTCTGTGAGGACAAGTGTGCCAAGGTTGATACAAGTCCTGCATTGCCAGTGCTCCATTTGCAGCCTTGGCTCTTGGGGTTAGGTAATTGTTCCCTTCTTGTATTGTGGTCACTGACACAAGGAAGGCCTGTTCTTGGCAGATGTTTCTAGATATTGTTCTCACTTTTGCTGCTGTTTGAAATTTAGCTGTCATGTCTGTTGTCTGTTCTGACAGAGTGTGGACCTGGATGACCACCACAAACCTGAGTTTAGAAGAGTTTTTAGTTCTTCCATCATTGAAAATGGGTATCGGTCTTCATCAGGTAGGAACAGGGCATGAAATGACATAGCGCTACTTGTAAAATACCCGATTCTGGCAGGCGTAGAGCAGGTCTCACATGTTGGGAGTGTTAGAATCCACTATGGTTTCAGCATGGATATTGTCCTGTGGCACCAATACTTTACTTCCTAATTAGGAGTTTAATTTTTAGACTTTAACTTAATTGTTAAACATGCACTATGGTGTTTCATGAACTAGAGGCTATTACTGTCACATTATGTTGGACACTAGTGGTAGTAAGGCTTGGTATTCTGGGTGCCATTGTAGCTTTGCATCCCAAAACATCTCGCAAATTACCTGTCCGCTTCCATCATCTTTCAGTTGAGGAAGGACTTACTGTCTGCATTTTAGAGAAAACTGAGTTATACAGTGTTTCATAAAACCATGAAAAGAATAAACATGCTGCCTCCTAGCCCAGGGCAGGAGATGGGGAGTGAGGGCTTCACAGAGGAACAGGAGTAGCTTACCAAATGCAGATACTTGTGTATTAATGATCTAAAGACATTGTTCCTGCTGAGATTCATGTAGAACAAGTACGATCACTGCGAGGATCACTTGCACTAGGGTTGTTTCTGCAGCATAAGTGGTACAATGTTCCACAGGGAGAACAAGGTGGGAT